TTTTTGAGACGGAGTTTCGCTCTTGTTACCCAGGCTGGAGTGCAATGGCGCGATCTCGGCTCACCGCAACCTCCGTCTCCTGGGTTCGGGCAATTCTCCTGCCTCAGCCTCCTAAGTAGCTGGGATTACGGTCACGTGTCACCATGCCAGCTAAATTTTTTTCTTTTCTAACAAGACAGTCTTAGGCTTAGGCAATATTTCCTAATTATATATAATTTTATAATATACAATATATATAACATATACATTATAGAAGTATTTAAAAAATGTTTTTTGAGACAGAGTTTCGCTTCTGTCACCTAGGCTGGAGTGCAGTGGCACGATCTTGGGTCACTGCAACTTCTGCCTCCCAGGTTCAAGTGATTCTCCTGCCTTAGCTTCCCAAGTAGCTGATTTGCATAAAGGGCGTGAGCCACTGTGTCTGGCCTGATTAATAAAACAAACTTTAGCTGATAAACATTTGTCATTCTTAATAAAAATAAACACATAATTAGAATTTATTAATTTGCTCAAAGCTCTTCTTAGTGCAGATATTTAACCTGGGGCTCCTCTTCAGCCACACCATCCTTGAGGCCTGCAAATGCCAAGCAAGCTGTTTGTCTTTTAGAGAGTGTCGAAACTGTTAGGAAATCAAGGGATAATGGATGTGTCCAGGTTCGTAGTGTTAGGTGGAGAAGAGACAATTCAATGTCACCTGCTGTTTAACTCTCTCCAATCCCACTTGGCATCAAAAGGGACTTTCCTCCGTGTTGGTGGGAAGCCTCTAGGGCCTTCATTTTTTTTCCGATTTCAGCTGTGCATGTTGGCTGCATCCCTGTGTTTCCAATGTTTATCTGAATGGACTTGAGTGCTCCAGCCATGCCTCTGCTCTTGCTTCCTATTTGCCACACCAGCTCGACCATACATTGCATCTCCAACCTGGAACCTGCATGGTGGCTCCACCGAGCTCAGGAAGGGCAGCCCGCAGGTCAAGGTGAGGCCCCTTACACAGCCAGTGGAACAAGGCGTCTGCATTCCCAGGACATCTTTTCTTTTTATTGAGATGGAATCTCTCTGTCGCCTGGGCTGGAGTACAGTGGCACGATCTCAGCTCACTGCAACCTCCATCAGCCAGCTCAAGTGATTTTCCTGCCTCAGCCTCCTGAGTAGTTGGGATTACAGGCTCCTGCTACCATGCCCGGCTAATGTTCTGTACTTTTAGTAGAGATGAGGTTTCACCATGTTGGCCAGGCTGGTCCCAAACTCCTGACCTCAAGTGATCTGCCCACCTTGGCCTCCCAAAATGCTAGGATTACAAGCATGAGCCACCACGCCCAGGCTCCAGGATATCTTAAGTTTCTCCATTCTTAGGAGTCTGTGACCCCATTATTCATTCACAGGCATATCAGCCTGGGTGTTTCTGGGTGAACTTGATGGCCCTGTTAATTTCAACCTCACTAGGGATACACTGCTAGCAAAACTTGGTTTGACTTGTGTCCATTCTGTAGGACACACTGACTTGATGGATATGTCAGTGCATACTTCTGTGCCCCAACTACATCTAAAAACTTGCTCTCTTCAAGTCCTGGATCAATAAAAAGAAATTTCCGGGGAACATAATCATGGTTAGATTCTTTGCCTCTTTCAGAAATAATAGCTAAGCTTGGCTCTCATTATCAACTTGCAATTTGGAATTCCTCTGACATTTATATGAGCACTGTTCTAGACATAATGATGAGACCCACATCTATTCCCACAAGGAACTTGAAATCCAGTAAAGAAACAAAATGTGACCATTTTTCTTAAGCACAAAGAACTGTGAACTCAAGGAGGTTCCTGCCAATTTTTTTCTGAGGGACTGGAGAAACACATGAATGTCTTCTCCAAACAGTATGCTCTTCCTGCAATGTGCACCTTGGTAGTGGGACTATCTGGCTGATCCAGGGACCTCCTGCCAAAACAATCTTTCATGTAAATCAGGAAACAACCCCATCCCACTGGTGCAGGGCTTGGCCAATGGACTGAGCTTTATTGGTAGAAACAGGCAATCCTTCATTTGGGGCAATTGATACCTCATCCCCTTCATGGCTTGGAGAGAAGATCTCAGCTTCATTCACCTCCTCAGTCCAGGACAACTGAGCAAGATGTGTGTGCACAAGCCCACACGATGGCCCCAGTTAGACCAGTAATAGCAAAAACCCAAAGGCACTGCCCTCCTACTCTAGGCAAAATCTCAGCCACCAAATACCAGAATCTGTTGAATCTTGCCTGAAACTCATATTTTAGTGCTACTAAAGTGTGGAAAATTTTATTACACTGCAAGATTAAGTACAGAAATTGAAAAGTGTTTAGAAACTTTTATAACAATCTCATGTTGGTGCTACATTTTTATTGTGTTTATAAAGCTACCAATCTGCAAAGGATTGGGATTTTTAAAACTCATCCTTTACCATGGATAGTTTAAAAAGCACTGTTTTACCATGATATTTCAAAAGGAAGAAGTCACTTTATTTCCTGCTTTAAAAAGAGGATCTGTGATGTGTCCTTCTGTCTAGTACAAAAAACAGCACATCATTTCAATTTGCTTGTAAAGACAAACAGGAGGAATGGTCCAAAATTCAACTACTAATGTAACTGGTCTCACAAGCAGCTTGGAGCACTTCATTGTTACGCTGTGAAACACACACCAAATGTTAAAAGTTAATTTAACTTACTTAACCATTTGCTGATAGATGAGTTAACTATAGATCAAATATAGTATGGGGCTGAGTCTTCCTTTTAATGTTTATCTATGGCTAAAGGTAGCTTTTCATAAGAGAGATGTAAATATATGTCTTTCCTACTTACCCACGATGATACCAAGAGGTTACAACAAATGCCATTTTCACCAGGCATCCCCTCATCTCTGCCCCTTTTTATTTAATTGAATTACAGATGTGCCTACTTGGAATCGCATTACACTGAAACTTCCACCACACACAAGCAGCTTTTCCGGTCCTCTCCTTCATTGTCAGCCTTGCCCTGGTGCTTTCTCCATGAAGCTCTTGGTCCAGCAGAAAAGCCAGCACCCAAAGGAAGTCCAGCTACATGCTGGGCAGTGGATGAAGCCATGACCTGACGTGGACTTAAAGCAGTTTCCAAGCTGTTTCCCAGATTCTGTCTTTGGAGATGGCAGAGATGACAAGAAATGGGGCCAGTAGAATCTCAGCCACTTGTGTTTGTCCCAATAAGTTTGTTGACGAATGATAAGGCCCAATCCAGGTAAAGTCACAAACCATCCTTAAAGCATTCCAGTGTCACTGATTGGTGCCTCATGTACCTTTTCAAACTTGTGAATGAGCAAAACAAAATCAAGATGATCGCTGACATCTACACGTTTCTGTTTCAAATTTATACTCGTGTAGAAATAGGTTTTACAACCCATCTAGACTATGACAAAAATATTTAAAACATGTACTTCTTTATTTATAGATACTCCCTTGACTAAACTTCCCAAGAATCATTACAAATAAGTGAGTGAGATTCAGTGGTGGCAGCAAAATGACTTAACAATCTAAGACCCGATGATACTATAAGGAACAATACATCACTTAAATAAAGAAATTTGATTTTTTAAACAGAACGAGACACCAGCTAGGATTATAACTTTAGCATTCTACAGCAGTCTGCTCACACAGCCCTCCTCCATGCTGGCTCTTGGGCCACACTGTCTCCACACAGAGCTCAAGTCTCCTCCAGCACATTCCATAAGCTTCAAGTACGGAGACAGTGTATACTTCAGGCTGTTCTACAGAGCACTCCAGTCCATGGGTGGCTAAATATGTGAGGGAGTGGTTTTTCTGTCCGCTTACAAACCATGTTGATATTAAGCATAAATATAATCCATACGAGCTTTCATTTTCTTGGCCCAAAAGAATATGATGGGATTAAAACGAAAGTGATTAAGCAAAGGTTCACTATTCTGAACAAATAACATAGAAGTGATTGTACATTTGGGACCCAAAATTTTGTCTAGCTATAAAATGGACATTGTGATAAAAATAGGATTTGAAGGAACGTGAATGGCTAATTTGTCAGTTAAAATAATTAAAACTTTAAAAAAGTGAATGGCTATAGAGAAAAATATACCTCCATATAATCAATAAGTTAATTAAATAATGTTCAACTATGACAAGCAATCCTATACACAGTTAAAGTTTCAGATCCGTGAAAATACATTTATATATATGTATATATATATTCTTTATTTTACACAGTAACTGTTCTTGTTAAGCAGTATGGAAAACATCCTTGCAAACAGAATCATACAGCTTTAGGAATTTGCTATTTAAAGGAAAATTATTGCTAATTCTGGAATCAGTCATCCCTATATTCATGCTTGTATACATTTTCACATATTGCGTAGTCATCAGTTAAAAACAGTTACATACTTTGATGTGGAATTCCAGTATCTCCTAAGCATTCAAAAAAGTTATTTTTTCCCATCCCAAGACCAGCTTAGACAGAATTAAAATTGTCTTTCTTTAGTCTCACTAAAATAAGAGAAACTCATCTGATTGAGAACAACAAATATTTCCATCCAACACCCATTTGCAGAAAAGTCCTGGGAATTAATGTTAATGTTAATTAATGTTAATGTTAATGCCCCCTGATCTGGGCTGCTCTTCCCTCCTGGAGGTTGAGCCCATTCCTCCACCAGCTTATTCCGCAGGTCTCCTGTCCCCTAGAGAGGGCCCTGGGGACTTTCACCTGACTCCCCGTTGGGTGGAAATGACTTTGGTTCAAGACCATGAAGACATTCAAGAAATTTAAGTCATCAGGGTGGCTCTGAATTAATAGTTTCTTGGGGACTTTCCAGTGATAATGTTCCAAGTTGAGCCCAGAAGCCACCCATAATTACCACTTTACTTTGGAGATAAACACAATTTTCCTGATCCATTTGGTCGCCTAACTCCCTCTTAGGTTGTACTTCTCCACTGAGGACCTTTTAAGCCCAGAGGAAATACTCAGATTAGAAAGGTTAACACCCTTCTAATAAAAAGCGTGAAAAGAAAAAGGAATCCAGGTATCACATGGGGAATTAAAGTTGCCTGCTATGAAAAAAGTCAGTCTTGGAGATTTTAAAGTTCTGAGGGTGGATGGTGGTGAGGGCTGCACAACAATGTGAATATGTTTAATGCCACTGTCACTTAAAAATTGTTAAAATATAAATTTTATGTTATGCATATTTTATCACAGTAAAAGTCAGCTTTGTACTAATATTCATACAACCCCTCAGTATGGACATGTAAGGCCAAAATTTAAGAGAGAAACTTATCCTAAAATCATAAAAGGACAAGGACATTATGTTTTTATCTTTGCTATGGTTCTCTCACCATTTAAAACATATAAGGTTAGAAAGACATTTAGAAGTCGGCATCACACAGGAAGCTCACCTCAAATTTACTGTTGACATTTAAAAATGGTGCTAATTAATATGAAGCTCCTTCTGGCTACTTGTTATATTCATTACACAACTGAATAAAAACAAAGCAACATCTCATACCTCCTCCCTATAAACCTGTTATGATACCTTCCCAAAATATAGCAACTATCTAAATGTCCTCTTACTTTTTACTTTCATTGGATTGAAATCTTTTTCACCACTTGGTTCTCTAAAGAATTCCTGCCCCCTCGCCACCCTGCCCCACAACACAACATGAAGGCCTGACTGAGATCATGGAGCTACAGGCTGCCAATCCCGGTGAAAACATTTTTCCTTTCAGTCCTGGACTGATGTGGAAATAATTACATTGGTAAGGAGATCCAAGGTGAGTGGTAATGCACAAATGCCAGGTAGGCTCCTGCACAGCTCAAGTGGAGCCAAAACTTTGGAGCAGCAATTCTATAGGCATCAGCCACAGCAGGCATGGCAGGCTGTTGCCAGAAAGGGTAGTGTTCATGCTTTCTTGGTTACAGTACTACATCCGGGGACTATCTTCTAATACTGTCAATTCAGTGTCAGGGGTTATGCAAAACCATAGATGTTTCCAAACAGGCAGGGACCATAGAGGTCAATTAAGAACTCTTTGTGTAGCTGAGCCCATTAATCTTCAACCAGAAAACAAAATGACAGTGGGAACAAGCTACTATCAGACAGGGTTCATGTAGCACACACGACTGATCATCCCCATTGCAAAAGAGTATGAATGTTAATTTCAGACGTGACAGCATTTAACACACACCTTTTTAATTTATTGCAGAAATAATATGAACACCTGGGAAAAATGCTAGTTCTAAGTATCTCATGAAGTAAGTCATTCTTAGAAAGGGATTTGTGACTTTGAAGTAATATATAATTAGCAAGAGTTTTAAAATTATGTTTATGTACTAAAAGACTAGCAAAGTACCTCCAAAATAAAGATTATCAAATTAAACTGGAAAAGTATTTCCAAAATAAAGATGACCAAAAACTAGCCTGGGAATACTAGTTTTCTGTTGCTATAACACATTACCACAAACTTAGTGGCTTAAACACAAATCTATTACCTTACAGTTCTGCAGATTAGAGGTCCAACATGGGCTTCACTGGGCTAAAATCAGGTGTTGGCAGCGCTGTGTTCCTTCTGGAGGCTCTGGGGAAGTTTCTGTTTCCTTGCCAGTCTCAATTCTAGAGGCTGCCTGCACTCCCTAGCTCATGGCCCCTTCCTCCATCTTCAAAGTCAGCAGTGATGCGTTTCACATTTCCCTCTGACTCTGACACTCTTCCAATTCCCTCTTCCACTTTTAAGGACCATTCTGACTACACTAGGCCCACCTGGAGAATCCAGAAAAATCTCCCTATTTCGACATCAGTGGATTGATTAGCACCTCAGTTCCACCTGCAACCTTAATTCTCCTTTCCCATTTAACCCATTTAGCCCTTCAAAGGCTCTAAGGATTCAGACACAGACATCTTTGGGGAGCATGGGGTATTATTCTGCCTACCATAATGAGATTCCACACATTAAATATACCACAGTTTAATATTTCTGTGATAGTTCAATAACTGTCATTTGCTTTAATCTATAGAATTTATCTTTTTTTCTGTCTAAATAAAACTGTTAAGCTGGCCAGAGAAAACAGTAACAAAAAAATGTAAAGAGATATAAAACAAACTGTACAGTATTATAAAGTAGTGGTTATTTCTCTGTATGTCTACGTGTATATATATATATATATATATATATATATATAAAACTATACATAGATACGCATGTGTATAAACATACATATGGGTATATATATACATATACACACACACAATTTTAATCAAATGGTTATCAAAAATCAATATACAATAAAGATTCCTGGGAAGGTAATGCTTATAAAATAAGGCCATGTTTATAAAAATCCCCCAAATCAGTCCAAGATAAGATTTTTAATGAAGAACTTAAAGGTTAAAGAGATTCTTTCTTTCCAGGATAGCCATTTTTCCCTACTTGTTTTCTTTTTGCTTTTTCCGTTGTTGTCCATATTAAACTTCTTTGTGCTCTTAAAGGCCCTCCATCCTGTGAAGTGACCACGCCTCTAATGAACAAAGTCAAGCCACCAACACCCAAATACATCAGTGCAGCTGCTTCGGAGGAAATCACTGAAAAATAAAGGAAAACCAACCATGTATTGCTACATCCAGTGTACCTGTAGTCTTGGGAAAAGGTCCTAATTCCTTCCATGCTGAAATGCTAGCTTTGGTTTCAGAGAGAAACTTTATTTGCGACTGTGACCACTGTCACTACTGCTGTTCTGCCCCCAGCCAACTTAAAAGACTGGAATGTGGTAGTGGCGGTCGTTCTCAGTCAGCAGGGAGATCTCTGGCCAGTCCCTGAGAGGCTCCTCTGGGTAGCAGACTTCAAAGTCTCTGGAGTTAAACTTGAACAGTCTGAACACTTTTATCTTTACTTCGAGGGAGTATCCAAGTATAAACATATCAATCTGTGGATGAGATGAAAGACAGGTCACAGTTACACACTTTCAAATTCCTGCCTCCCACCACGGTGGGGGGAAGTATTCCCCTGCAGTTTATGAAATAATCCACTTGTTGACAGACCCACCCACACACTACTGAGTGGGCAGAGTTCAGAACAAATGTTTATTGTGTGGAAGGAAGGGGACAAGCATAAGAACAACTCTGTAGACTAGCAAGTAAAAATCACAGGAAAAAGCTACCTGAAAAAAAATCATAGTAAAAAAATAGAGGAACACTCAGGATACAAACTACATTGTTTCTAACCAGTTTTATATCATTTTATATCCATTTGTTTTAAAATGTCAGATAATTGCCTCTAGGAAAGCAAAACAAAAAAGAAACCCTTTTCTATAGGGATAAAAGCATTTCCTGGCTTTAGAAAGTTTCAATTAATTTATATTTATCTGCAACAGGTAACCAAATGCTTTCCTAAAATTATTTCATTTTCCAACTGGACTTTTTCCTGGTGAATGTCTATGTAGAGAGAACCTGTTAGCATCTGGGAAGCAGCGTGAGATGTCAGAAAGGCCCCCAGAACTGGTGCTCTCTGGCCAGAGGTCTGGGGAGACACAAAGCAGCCTGCACACAGCAATGAGGTTTATTAGTCTTCCTCATTTGAGGGGCAAAATATCAATCAACCACCTCTGTGTGGCTGCTTATATCATCGCTGAATGTCAACCCCAGACACCTGTGTTCAAATAGTGCCGCAGCATCCTTAATCAAACACAAGCAGTTCTTCCTCCCCAGTTACCTGCTCTAGTCCACACGTGTCGCCTACAGAATTCAGGTGATTCATCATGAAGCTCAAAGGATCAGAGGATGTTTCCCTGGAAAACAGGAGTCTAAAAAGACTGGGAATGACCTTTTTCGTCTTCATTTGCTCATAAACCTCAGTGACTTGATAGAGCATGATGAATTTTAAAGCTTCATAAAGTTTATATTCCAGAATGGCATCTGAAAAAAGGGTGTTGCACATACTTCCTCTCTTGTGATAATCTCTAATTCCATTAAATTCAGTCCACTAAAAACATAGATGTAAAAGTGAAATTCAGAAGGATAAAGGTGAAGACATACACCATTCCATAACTTTTAAAGTACTTATAAAATAAACCAAAGATTAATAGAAAAAAGTAGAACTTTAACTCTTCACTTTATATCTTTTGGCACTGTCTGATTTTTTTTTTTTTAACCATAAAGTATGCTGCAATAGATGGAACATGTCTCCCCTAACTTCTTATGTTGAAACCCTAATCCCAAGGTGGCGGTATTAGAGGGTGTGTCTTTTGGGAGGTGCTTAGGTCCAGATGGTGGAGCTCTCATTAATGAACTTGGTACTCTTAGAAGAAGAGGACAAAGAGCTAGCTAGTTCTTCCACTGTGTGAAGACACACCAAGAAGACAGCTGTCTATAAAACAGGAAGAGGGCTCCAAAAACTCCACCATGCTGGCACCCTGATCTCTGACTTCCAATCTCCAGAACTGTGAAAAATCAATGCTTATGATTTAAGCCACCGAATTTATGGTATTTTGTTATAGAAGCCTAAGCTGACCATAAAACATTTACAGTAAGAAATTAGTTTACATAAAATATTGTTTTCAAAAAGTACCACGTATTATTGTTTTCAAAAAGTATAACCCAAAACACAAAGCAAGTCAGTTTTCCAAAACTGCTTAGGATGGATGGATTATACAAAGGATATTCCAGAGAAGAATAGTGCTAGTGTGCTTTAACATTTACTGTGTATCCTGCACAGTTTAAAGCACTCTGTATTAAGTCATTGAATCCTCACAATAATCATAGAGGGTATACACTATTGATGTTTCTCTTTTATACATAAGAAAACTATGGACCAGAAAAGTTATTTCCCAAGGTAACCCAGCTAGTGGTAGGCTCAGGATTCATTCCAATCAGCCAAAATCTGCATCATTATTAAAAGACAGGAAGAACTCTTAACCAAATTACATTTGCACTATTACCACGTTATGAATGGGGTGCATTCCAGAAGGGCATTTCTGAGCACCTTGCCTGGAACTTGCACCACATTCTTCTGGGGAAACAAAGGTACATGACTGGTAAAGTTTGCAGGGCAGCCCATAAAAGCCCCCAAACCTTATAGGGCCTAATTGTCATGTAGAACAATGTTGCTCTTATTCACTTCTTGAAGGAGAAGGAAGAATAAGGAGGGAAATCATCAGTTACTAGAAGCATTTTTGCTTGCACTTCTTACTTTCCTAATATAAGGTGATGTGCCCAACATTAGAGAAAACTGGCTATATCTGGGATATGTCCTTTTATACCTAGTTTTTTTATTCCACCCCCCCAAACACTTACCTGTGTTTTCAATAATTCCACACATTTCCGTAATTTTCCAAACACATTCGAACCTGTATACTTCTCAGGACCAAAACTGTATTGCTGAATCCAATTACAACCTTGTGAAAACAGCAGTTTTTCAGGAAGCTTGTAAAGGAAGTAGACACCAACTATGATTAGCATATGAATGTTTATTACACACAATTTGGGGTATAGCACAACACACAACCTTATCTCTCTGTTTTTTGTTTTTTGTTTTTTTTTGCCATGGAGTCTTACTCTGTTGCCTAGGCTGGAGTGCAGTGGTGCAATCTTGGCTCACTGCAGCCTCCACCTGCCAGGTTCAAGCAATACTTGTGCCTCAGCCTCCTGAGTAGGTAGGACTACAGGAGTGAGCCACCATGCCTGGCTAATTTTTTGTATTTTCAGTAGAGATGGGGTTGCACCTTGTTGGTCAGGCTAGTCTCGAACTCCTGACCTCAGCAATCTTCCTGCCTCGGCCTCCCAATGTGCTGGAATTACAGGCGTGGGCCACCGCACCTGGCACAACCTTATCTCATTTAGCAATCTTTATTTAGAAAGACTACAGAAATGGTTAAATAAAAAGTATATTGCCTTCTTTTAGATTTGTGCCTTAGGTTATTTTTACATCATTTTCCTACAATTTCATAAGTGATGAAAACATAGAATTGTGTCCATAGAAACAATCTTTTTGATAAAATATTTACCAAACTTACTAATATGTAGCCCTTTAGAAATTATTATTATTATTTTTTTGAGATGGAGTCTCACTCTGTCACCAGGCTGGAGTGCAATGGTGCGATCTCAGCTCACTGCAACCTCCGACTTCCAGATTAAAGCAATTCTCCTGCCTCAGCCTCCTGAGTAGCTGGGACTACAGGCACACACCACCACGCCCAGCTAATTTTTGTAGTTTTAATAGAGATGGTGTTTCACCATGTTGGCCAGGATGGCCTTGATCTTCCGACCTCATGATCCCTCCCAAAGTGCTGGGATTACAGGTGTGAGCCACCGCATCCGGCCTAGAAATAAGTTTTAACCAAATGATGTCAGGGCAATATAGTGTATCAGGGAACAGGTGGATTTTAGAATGATGCACTCTGTGGTTCAAACCTAGCTGTCACTCACCAGCTGAGAGATTACATAACCAGCATGGATTATTTAACTACTTAGCCTCATCCCCCATTGTAACGTATGAATAATACTGTGCATTTTATAGGGCTCTTGTTAGGATTAGATTATGCTGTATGTAAGAATCTAACCCATCATAGGTATCCAGTACATTTTCCCACCCTACTCAGTTTGTTAAGCCTGGGAATCGCCAACGTTGGTGGTTTGTTTTGTTTTGTTTTTTAAAGACAAGGTCTCACTTAATATGGGTTGGCTGTGTCCCCACCCATATCTCATGAATCCCCATGTATTGTGGGAGGGATCTGGTGGGAGGTAACTGAATCATGTGGCAAGTCTTTTTTCTGTGCTGGTCTTGTGACAGTAAGTCTCACAAGATCTCATGGTTTTAAAAAGAGGAGTTCCCATGCATAAGCTCTCTCTTTTTGCCTGCCACCATCCACATAAAATGTGACTTGCTCTCTGACTTCCACCGCGATTGTGAGGCTTCCCCCGCCACGTGGAACTGTAAGTCCAATTAAACCTCTTTCTTTTGTAAATTGCCCACTCTTAGGTGTGTCTCTATCAGCAGCATGAAAACAGACTAATACAGTAAACTGGTACCAGGACTGGGGTGCTGCTGAAAAGATACGTGAAACCATGGAAACAACTTTGGAACTGGGTAACAAGCAGAAGTTGGAACAATTTGGAGTGCTCAGAAGACAGGAAAATGTGGAAAAGTTTGCAACTCCCTAGAGATTTGTTGAATGGCTTTGACCAAAATGCTGATAATGAGATAGATAATGAAATGCAGGCTGAGGTAGTTTCAGGTGGAGATGAGGAACTTGGAAACTGGAGCAATGGTGACTCTTGTTATGTTTTAGCAAAGAGACTGGTGGCATGCCCCTGCCCTAGAGATTTATGGAACTTTGAACTTGAGAGAGATTTAGAGTATCTGGTGGAAGAAATTTCTAAGCAGCAAAGCATTCAAGATGTGACTTGGGTGCTGTTAATGGCATTCAGTTTTGAAAGGGAAACAGAGCATAAAAGTTTGGAAATTTCGCAGCCCAATAATACAATAGGAAAGGAAATCTCATTTTCTGAGGACAAATTCAAGCTGGCTGCAGGTATCTGCATAAGTAAAGAGGAGCCAAATGTTAATCACCAAGGCAATGAGGAAAATGTCTCCAGGGCATGTCAGAAACCTTTACAGCAGCGCCCCACCACCTCCACTCCCACTACAGGCCGGGAGACCTAGCAGAAAAAAGGTTCATGGGCCAGGCCCAGGGTCCCTCTGCTGTGTGCAATTTGGGGACTTGGTGCCCTGCATCCCAGGTACTCTAGCCATGATGAAAAGGGGCCAAGCAAGGTACAGTTCGGGCCATGCCTTCAGAGGGCGCAAGCCCCGAGCCTAGGCAGCTTCCACGTGATGTTGGGCCTGTGGGTACACAGAAGTCAAGAACTGAGTGTTGGGAACCTCCACCTAGAGCTTTAAGATAGAAGTGTCTTGATGTCTAAGCAAAAGTTTGCTGCAGGGACGGGGCACTCATGGAGACCCTCCGCTAGGGCAGTGAGGAAGGGAAATGTGGCATGGGAGACCCTATACAGAGTCCCTACTGGGTCGCTGCCTAGTGAAGCTGTGAGAAGAGGGCTACTGTCCTCCAGATCCCAGAATGGCAGATCCACCAACAGCTTTCACCGTGCAACTGGATAAGCCACAGACACTCTGACACCAGCCTGTAAAAGCAGCCAGGAGGGAGGCTGCACCCTTCAAAGCCACAGGGGCGGAGCTGCCCAAGACCATGGGAACCTACCTTTTGCATCAGTGTGACTGGGATGTGAGACATGGAATCAAAGGAGATCATTTTGGAGCTTTAAGATTTAACTGCCCCACTGGATTTTGGACATGCATGGCCTGTAGTCCCTTTGTTTTGGCCAATTTCTCCCATTTGGAATGACTGTATTTACCCAGTGCCTGTACCCCCACTGTATCCAGGAAGTAATTAAACTGCTTTTGATTACAGGCTGATAGGTGGAAGGGACTTTCCTTGCCTCAGATGAGACTTTAGACTGTGAACTTTTGAGTTAATGCTGAAATGAGTTAAGACTTTGGGGGACTGTTGGGAAGGCATGATTGGTTTTGAAATGTGAAGATCTGAGATTTGGGAGGGGCCAGGGGTGGAATACTATGGTTTGGATGTGTCCCCACCCAAATCTCATCTTTATTGTCTTTATCAGCAGCATGAAAACAGACTAATACACACTCTATCACCCAGGCTGGAGTGCAGTGGTGCAATCACAGCTGAATGTAATCTCAAACTCCTAGGATCAAGCAATCCTCCCATCATAGTCTCCCAAGTCACTATGACTACAGGCATGTACCACCATGTCCGGCTAGATTTTTTCATTTTTTAGCAAGATAAGAGTCTCACTCTGTTGCCCAGGCTGGTCTTGAACTACTGGCCTCCAGAGATACTCCTACCTTGGCCTCCCAAAGTGCTGGGATTATAGGCGTAAGCCATAGCACCTGGCCTCTGTTGTATTTTTATATCTTTGTCCTCAGCAATTAGCAACCAGGCTAGCATGCTGTATATACTTGACAAGCATTTGCTAGATGAAATGGAACTAACAAATAAGCTTAAATAAAAGATGTTAAAATTGAACACACATACACACTCTCTCTCTCACTCTCTCTCTCTCTATACATATATATATATATATATATATATATATATATATATATATATATATATTTCTTTGCTCTTCTATCCTTAAATGTACTTCCTAGATTAGACATACTGCATTTAAAATAAAAACTCGCCAGGCATGGTGGCTTATGCTTGCAAACTCGGCACTTTGGGAGGCAAGGTGGGTGGATAACAAGGTCAGGAGTTTGAGACCAGCCTGGCCAACATGGTGAAACCCCATCTCTACTAAAAATACAAAAATTAGCCAGGCATGGTGGCATGTGCCTGTAATCCCAGCTATTCAAGACGCTGAGGCAGAATTGCTTAAACCTGGAAGGTGGAAGTTGCAGTGAGCCAAGATTGTGCACTTCAATCTGGGCGACAAGAGCAAGACTCTGTCTCAAAAAATAAATAAATAAAATAAAACAAAATAAAAACTCAGTTTACTTATCAAGAACATACTGCTTGACATTGTTAAGAAAATCAGAAAATAAGCCACAGACTGGAGAAAATAGCTGTAAATCATACATCTGATAAAGCACTGTAGTCAGAATATATAAAGAACACTCAAGACTCAACTATTAAAAAAAAATTTAAATGGGCAAAATATTTGAATAGACATTTCTCCAAGAAGATCACAGAGATGACAAGCAAGCACATGAAAAATGTTCAACATCATTACTCATTGGGGAATGCACACTAAAAGTACAATGATACCAATTCACACTTATTAGAATGGCTAAAAACCAAAAAACCTGACAATATCAAGTGCTGGTGAGAATGTGGAGCGACTGAAACACTGCTTATATATTGTTGGTGGGAATGTAAAATGGCTGGGCCACTTTGGAAAGCAAGTTGGCAGTTTCTTATGAAGTTAAACATGCACCTAGCATACATGCAGGCAATCTCACTCCAATTACCACCTCAATATGAAAACTATTGTTCATATAAAATCCTGTATAAGAATATTTATAACAGCTTTATTTACAGTTGCCCCAAATTAAAAACAATCTAGATGTCCTTCAACTGGTGAATGGATAAACCAACTGTAGTATATTCATGTAAAGGAATATCATTCAACAATGAAAGAGCATGAACTACAAATTCACGGACAAATTTATGGATGAATTGGAAATGCATTATGCTAAGTGAAAGAAACCAGATTCAAAAGGCTACATACTGAATGATTCCATTTATATGAAATTCTGGAAATGGCAAAATATAGGGACAGAAAATAGATCAGTGGTTTCCAGAGGCTGGGGTAGGAGGAGGATGGACTACCAAAGCATACAAGAGAATCTTTGGGGAACTATGCATTTATTAAAACTCACATTAACTGTAGAGTAAAAAAGCAAATTTTGCTTGATCACCTTACTTATAAAAGAACAGGTGCCCCTCAAGAAAAGATGGTGGCATTAAAAACAAACACAGAGAATGACTGTCTTCTGAGATGGTTTATTTATAACTGACACAAGAGACAGAGGACTGGATTACATAACCTCTTAAGACTCCCCTGGCCAGACATGATGGCTCACATCTATAATCCCAGCATTCTGGGAGGAGGAGAAGGTGGATAGATTGCCTGAGCCCAGAAGTTCAAGACCAGCCTGGGCAACAAGGCAAAACCCTGTCTCTACAAAAAAAAAAAAAAGCAAAAATTAACTAGGCATGGTGGCATGCACCTGTGGTCCCAGCTACTCAGGAGGCTGAGATGGGAGAATCACTTGAGCCCAGGGGGTCAAGGCTGCAGTGAGCCATGATCACTCCACTGCACTCAAGCCTGGGTGACAGTGAGACCCTGTCTCATAAAAAAAAAAAATTCCTTCAATTTCATGGTCCCCTGAGCACAAAGCTCCCAAAGACTAGGAGCCATTGAGTTGCAGCTATTGTCAACACGACATTTCCCACATTTCCAGTGGAAAGACATACCTTAACAATGTCCTTTTCTTTCATCCATGATGGAAAAGAGATGCCCTGGCTGAATATCTGAAATAACACTGATCTGAGAGCATCATAGTTGTCTCTCTTTACTTGTCGAACACATTTAATATGATGCCGCCAAAATAGCTCCTCATAAGCCTATTAGCACAAAAAGAGAGTTATTTGTTAATTCCACTGGACAAGGGAATAAAGAAAGTGAATTCACTGTATTTTCAGTAAGGTGTTCCTCCCAACTAAAATGGATGACAGAAACAATGACAAATTATGAATATGACTGCATGTAATTTTAAAGTGGCTCTCATTTGTAAAGGTATGCAACTTGCTATTTTAGATGATAAATCCTGGAAGCCCAGAGCCAGGGAAGGTCACCTTGGGCAGATAAGGGATGTGACCTAATCACAGGGAAAAACTCTGTGTACTTTTACGATGATCCTAAGTACTTTACATGTACTCTCTCCACGATTTTTGCTTTTGCCAATGACAAGATTGGGCAGCACTGCTGGGGCTAATTACCAAGATTGGTCCAATGAAGATTCTAAAAATTCTCAAAATATTTTACAGCAGGGTGCCTGATCTTTTCAAAGACAGTCTCCACTGCACATGCAGATGTTTAATAGGCCTGGCCAGGAGAGAGCTGAAAGAGCACAATGCCTGAGTTTCCTCAAATTACAGACCTCCTCAACCTGAGTCCTTGAGGACACGAGCTCCAGGTTCAAGGCCCAAAGCCAAGGTCTAGCAGCTGTTTGGCTTTTGAGTTAGAGCCACAGTTGTTACTTGATTCACACTTTGGTACTGACAGATCTCTGGATTTAGGAAAGCAGAAGTGAATGTTTGCTTCCTTATTTTGACAGACAAATTCTATTTCTCCCATACCCTCTAAACACAGACACACCTTCCTCATCAGCTTGGTACGGGGTGTCTCTCCTTTCCATTCTCTTGCACAGTAACTGAGTAAATCAACTTCTGCCTCCACACTGAGGTTCCCTGGACCAAATAAAAAATAAAAAGCAGTCAATTTCCCTTTCTTCTCCTTTCTTGAACCCTCTCTGTACCTTAAAAATAAAGAAATATATGAATGAAAATATTTACTTTTGAATTTTCTCTGCAGATATCCAATCCACCTGAAAGATAAAGGGAACAATAATATCAGAATTCTGCTTTGAATAGCAAGGATATATTTGAAATTCAAAGATGATACAGTGACCTACCATTTCAGCTTGTGCCCTGAATATAAATGTAGCCTCCTGAAGTAGCAGATGGAAGCCACCACAAATGAAACTGCCAACATAACAAAGCCTTTTGCCATTCTCCAGATAGTGTCTAAGGCTTGGCTTGTAGCTAGCGTCCAGGAATGAACTTGGTCACTTCCTATGGAAATTAAAAAAAAAAAAAAAAAAAAAGCCCGTCACAATTATTCACAATTATACAAGTTTGCTTTAAAAGAAAAAAACATGCAGAGAGAGATTGTGTAATTTTACCTGCAAAATATCTATCACTGATTTACATATTTTTAAAGTATTCAAAAATTCAATCCAAAAATTAAAGAAATGCCTGGTTCTCCCATAATCAGCATCATATATATGAACATCTTTCTTTCGCAAAATTAAGAATAATAAACATAAAGAGTATGGGCTTCAGAATCTCTCAGACTTGCATTCAAAACCTGCCTCTACTATTTTATCTAGATGTGTGACTATGGCAACCTAACTCCGTTTCTGAGTTTTCTTGATTGTACAAGAATATGAAAACACTGACTCTGCTAGAGAAAGGTCGAACAAAATTTTTAAGCACTAGTATAATGCCTGCCACACACTTGGTTCTTGCTGAATATCTGAATTGAATCCCATGTACAATTACAGGGATTCAATTCAGACCCATGTACACTGCAGGCAGTCAAAACAGGTGACACTTCTATATTAGTCCGTTCTCATGCTGCCAATAAAGACATACCTGATTCTGGGTGATTTATAAAAGAAAGAGGTTTAATTGACTCACAGTTCAGCATGGCTGAGGAGATCTCAGGAAACTTACAAACATGGCAGAAAGGGAAGGAAACACATCCTTCTTAACATGGCAGCAGGGAGGAGAAGTACCAAGCAAAAAGGAGGAAAAGCCCCTTATAAAACCATCAGATCTCTTGAGAACTCACCATCATGAGAACAAGATGAGGGTAACTACCCCCATGATTCAATTACCTCCTACTGGGCCCCTCCCATGACACATGGAGATTATGGGAGCTATAATCCAAGATGAGATTTGGATGGGGACAGAGTCAAACCATATCAGCCTCCAACATCCATTTCTGCCCATTTATATATTTTTGAATCATTATAGGCCATAACATATGACATCACTTTAGCAGCACAGAGTAAGTAACTCAGACAGCAGTCACACAGATATCATTGCCAGAAAGTAGATCACTTAAAAGGAGTCATGAGGTTGATTTAGTGAGGCTGCATATGACATATGCTATGATTCCTGATTTGACAAGAAATAAAACTAACAGGCCTAGAGAGTTCAAACAGTGCACTTATAATATTTTGCTATGTCCAGTAGATTCCTAATTATATTATGTTTGAGCACATAAAATGCTGAAATACAAAGGAGAAAGAGGACTTTGAATAATGACCAAACCTCTGAGGTTCATTGCAAAATAATTTCCTCCACAGCATATAATTTAGTAAAATTCCAGTGATTAACTATAGTAAAAGACTCATCAATGTAGAATCTAAAATTTTAGCATTTTTTATCATCTGGATATTTGATGTGATATTTATACTCTCAATAAAGAAATAATTTGCCAGCAAATAGAGAAAAAAAACCTAGCAATTTGAAAAATACATTTATAATTACTTAAAAGGACATTTTCAAAAACAAGTGCTTATCTATTTAGAACAGTTGATTAGCTATTCAAATCATTATATATTTATTCCCACCTAGACATTTAGTAAAGCTTTTTATGAAAGCTTAAAAGGGTAATGCTATGCTGCCTTTACATCTATAATTTGGATTTTTGTTAATTCAGTTTGATTTTCCAACTTTAAAAATTCTGACACATGCAAATATTTTTAGTGAATCTTTAAGTTCATGGAAAAACTACAATTTTGCCCATGTAATACATACATTCTTTTACTGTAGGTACAAACATTTTTTAGAAAAATGGACAACATGATTTTAGTTTTTTCTTATAAAAATTGGACATCTTTTCATATCAGTACACATAAATTCTCCATTAATCTTTTTAATGATGCATAATGTTTTAGTATAAACTGTCCTATATGTAAGCATTGCCTTTTTTTGAGACACAGTCTTGTGCTATTGCCTAGGCTGGAGCATGGAGCACAGTGGCATGATCATAGCTCACTGCAACCTCAAACTCTTAGATTCACGCGATCCTCCCACCTCAGTCTAACACTGCCTTTTTGATAAACACTTGGATCATTTCCCATTTCTCACTTTTACAAACAATGCTGTGGCAAATATTCTTTTCTTACAAACAATGCTGTGGCAAATATTCTTTTCTAGCAGTCCTTATGGCTTTTTAAAAAGAGTAATTTCAAGAAAAGAAAATTCTAGGTCACAGAGTGTGCACATTTTCAGTTTTGACAGACACTGCCACAGAGTCCCATCACACATACGAGAGCACCTATTTCCCTAAACCCCGATGCTGGTAAGATTTCTCACTTTAGACTCCATTTATGAGGAAAGCTCTCCTGTCCGTATGTCTGTTCATATCTCTTCTTCTCTGAAGGCCTTTTGAAAGCATCTGCCAATTTCCCACAGGGTGGTACAGGTGGACAAGAAGGGTTTGCAGTCACTGAAGTGGGGATGGCTGCTGACCCCTCCACGGACACATGCTCTCAACTGTCACAGACTCCATCTAACCTTCTACAGTTACCACCCAGGAACCTACCAGTTGGCAGTTACCAACTAGCTTCTGCAAAATTTTGAGGTGAGACCCTGAAGGTGGACCATCTCACCTGAGCATAGGGTCTCTCCTGTAGCTCCTCAGATTCCATGGGGACCCACTACAGATAATGGCTCTCCCCACTCACACATACTCTTCCTATCACATGCCCTTATCCTCAAACCTCAACCCCACCTACAATCCAAGAGATTGTGATATGATCAACCTGTCAGGAAAAAACCTAGAACACACACTTGCACTCCTGGTCTCCCACTACCCAATGTGTCCATGTTGTTTTGTCAAGTAACCCCAGCCAAGAAGGGCCAGGGAGCCTATTCATGGGGGTGCTGGTGGAGGTACCAGAGACCATCTGGAGGTGGGTGGAAAGGGACTCTGCAGGACTTGTGAAGTCACATGGAAGCATGCCATGGCCATATAGCCATGTATAGGATCTATGTGAGCCATTCACTGATAACAGTAGGAAGGGGACTTCTGCATCAAAGGAGAGGAAGTACAGGGTTTTGTTAGGAAAGAGTACAACTTCACCAGTAGCTACAATAGCTACAATTTAAGCTTTTATTATGTGCCAGCCCCTATTTTAAGTATTTTACAGGAATTATTTCATTTAGTCCTGCGACCATGTCATGAGCAGGCAGTAAGAAGCCTCTAGAGTCTAAAAGCATGGTTCCCATGCTGGCACTGCACATTGTAGCATGTGATATGGGGCAAATGACTTCCCCTTTCCAAGCCTCCATTTCTGAATCTAGAAATGAAGATAGCACATAGCAGAGCCTGGTGCACAGTGAGTGCTCAGTGCATGGTCACTCTTACTGTCATCCCACTGCACCACAACACAAGGAAGCACAGCAGGATCCACTTCTCAGGACTGCTATGAGACTGAAAGCAAAGGTTGGGAAAGCACTTAGCACAATACCTGACACACACCGTAAGTACTCAATAAACACTAACTGTTGTTTTTATTATTATTACTCTAGTAACCTTTATTTTGCAGAGAAAACTTCGAGGGGGGAAAAAATTAAATAATTGCCCAATGGGACTCAGTCAGTAAGTAGAAGAGCCAGAATTAAAACCAGGAGTAATGTGACGTGCTTTGGTATGAATGTGTCTCCAGTGTGTCCCACAGGTTAGCTTCACGTGTTGCAAACTTAATCATAAAATTCACATGATGATTGGAGGTGGGGCCTCTGGGAATTAATTAGGATTAGATAAGTCCATCAGCATGGGGCCCCCATGATGGGACTGGTAGGTGACCTGCATGCTAATGCCCTCTTACTATATGACACCCTCCACCATATTACAACGCAGCAAGAAGGCCCTCAGCAGATCTGGTGCCTGCCGTGCTCTTGGACTCCCCAACCCCAGAACTGTAAGACATAAACTTGTTTTCCTTATAAATCACCCAGTCGGTGGTATTCTGTTATAATAACAGAAAATGAACAAAGACAGGATGCCAGAAGTTGCCTCCTTTACTATTTGGCTGTCCTGCCTTGAATTAGGGAACCCAGGAAATCTTCAAATTAATATTGCTACAGCAAGTAAATTAAGACTCTTTAAAATGAAAAATTTTAAAAATTCTCCTTCCTGGGCCAATAATGATTACAACTAAAAAATGATACAGAAGAAAACAATGTAATGAGATATCTTACAAAACAGTGTCATGACAGTTCTGATGACCTCCAGCATCAAATCTCATTTCCCCAAACACAACTGAGATGAGATAAAATTGTGGACATCAGAAGATTCACAGGGGTCCCCCTTCCACCACCCTGCCAAGGAGAATTCTGGAGTCCCTGGCCCAGCTTCCCCACCTCATTCCTGGAGAGGGATGCCTGTGGAAGGGAGTCCTGATGCTTGGTGACTGGGACTCAGAGAAACAGGAAGGGAGAAAAGGTTCCACCTCCAATCATTCCACATTAAAAAAAAAAAAAAAAAAAAAAAGAACAAAAGGAGTGTGTTGGGAGGGGGGCAAGTTTTGGCAAAAAGAATCTCCAGGAAGTCCATGTTGCAAGGGGAGGTGGAAAATAGCAGTGTTGCCAGAAATTATGGATTTGACTCTCTTTAGTGTGAAAAGACACAAAAACATGACATTTCTTTTCAATACTTTTGGACTGAACCACTTGGGTGATGGCTGAAACGAGACCATATATACAGCACAATTCATGTCTGTTATATTGCAAACTGTATTACGTAGATCTCAAATATCCCTCTAGTCATCAGCATTAACGCATGCTGGGACCCCGACCCACACAAGCAGAAGTAATGCTTCAGCAGTGAACATGTCCTAGAGAAATTACACTAGAACCTCCTAAAGTCAACAGTGAGTATATCTGAAACTAAAATCTGATCTGCGATCACTCAAACTATCTATGGCAGATGAAACTGTTGGCCAGAACTACAA